GCCCCGCGCGCGCCGGCACGTCGGCCCGAGCCCGGGCCGAACGAGCTGGGAGCGCTCGGCGGGCTCGCACCCGCCGGCGCCCGGGCACGAAGGTCCGGTCCGTGCGCGCGCGCTCCCTCTCTCTCTCTCTCTCTCGCTCCCTCTCTCTCGCTCGTTGTCGTGGTTTCCCTTTCTCTTGCCCTCTTCCCCTCTCTTTCCCGTCTCCCCAACTCCTCTGTATGTCTCGCCTCCCTGCGTCTCTCGGCCTCTGAAGCCCCGTCTCTCCCGCCCCTCTCTCTCGGTATCTGAATCTCTTCCCTGTCATCTAGAGCCTTCCACTGGATCGATGGGCAGGCAGCAGCCCCACGATATGTAGAGCAGCGCGAAGCCCCTGGCGGCCACGGAGCGCGGCAGCACGTTGGAGAAGCCAACGCCGCTGAGGGTCACGAAGCAGAAGTAGAGCGACGTGGCGAAGCTCCTGGGGGGCGACGTTCGCACCCTGGGGTTGGGAAGACACAAGGTGCGACTGCATAGCAAGCACCGTCAACAGAAGCGGCAAGAGTGATGGCATGGTCATGCCTCCCAGCCCCATCCTCCCAGCACGAGGACTGCCTTCCTGGATCCCCACCAACCACCGACCATCCTGAAGCGACGGGAGGCGGAGGTAGGGTTCGGATCTCGCCCCCTGCTCGGACGAACTCCGAATCCTGCCCCCGCCGCCCACCGAGATTCCCTGAGCCGCTGGGTCGGCGACATTGGGGCTCGGACTTCGCTCAGCGCCCCGCGAACGGGGACTCCACTGACGAGCACTCTGGCCAGTGATCCGGCGAACCCAACCCTCCCTGATGTGGGCAACGCTGCAATGCCAGAGACAGGCCCTGAAGTGGCAACTTTCGGCAACTCTCCAGCACCCGTCAGTCGGGGAGCGAACAGTGACATAAAGGTTAAAACCCAGACGCCCGCGCGGGTTTCTCGGATCGGCGCTGGACCCCCCTCCCTGGCGCGCAGAGCGCGCCAGGGGCGGCGCCGGAGGCGCCGCCCTGGGGGTCCAGCGCCGATCCGAGGAGTCCGCGCGGACCTCCGAGTTGTCGTGCTTCTGTCATCGCTCGCTCCTCGAGTTAGCGAATACCCGCTACGGTGCCGCCGATTCGTCACCGAGCTCCACTGGCCGGAGGAGGCCTCCAGCGCCACGAACGCGGCGCTGCCGCCCAGCCAGACCTCACGGAGGGAGCCGCGGGCACGCGTCGGCGATGCTATCCGCCGCCGCCCCGCGGCCCGGAGGCCCGACGCCCAGGGGAGGGCTCTGCGCCCTCGGAGGGCCACCAGTAGAGTTTTTAAGTCGGGCATGTCCCTCTACAGGAGGACGCTTCTAAAACACTCACAACATAGTCGGGGGGCGATGCTTCTACTATTTTTTATGGCTTCTGCATACGGTTAACTATTTCATTTCTCTTCCAAAATTCGCCTGTAGGAAGACATGCCCGACCTAACACTAGAGGGGTCTGCAGTCGGACCCAGGCCAGAGGAACGTTCTTCCTCTGCGTCGCTCATTCCAAGACCCGCGGAAATCCTGGAGTGGGGGCGCGATGTTTGTACACAACCCCCACGAACGAGACGGTCTGGCACAAGCCCTCGGAGCGGAGGAGGTCCTGTGCAAAAATCGCATCCCCTGGGGACACGATGTCTGTGCACCACCCTTGCAAACAAGCTGGTCCGGCGCAAGGTACAGTCGGACCTAGGACAGAAGAACATCCTTCAAGAGCACGAGACCCTCCGTCGGCAAAAACAAGCAGAGCATCCAAGGGTGCCATCCCCTGGGAGGCACAAGAGCATCCAACGAGCACAAACAGCATGAGGGCACCATCCCCGAACAGCCCTCGGTGCTGTGCCTCGGTCCGACTGTACACCCTCGAAGCGCCAAGAGAAGAGAGCGCAGTACCCGCAGACGGCCACCAGGAGTCGGCTCTGCGCCCTCAGGTCGGCGGAGGAAGGGAGCTCCGCCCCCTCAAGCGGCCACCAGGAAGGGGTTGCGCACCGCCAGAGCGCCAGAGGAGAGCTGCTCTGAATGATGAAGCGGCCACAGCCACACACACACACACGCAGCAATACATACATATAATAATATAATCCAGAAGTGGTAGAATGAAAAATAATACCATCTGGCATGAAGATCGGTAGTTCAATATAACATATGATATTGCAAAATAGGAGTGGGTAAAATATGACAACATATGATATATCATAACATATCATAACATAATACAATATGAATTGTGTGGTATAACAAACTATAATAGCATGGGCAACACTACAAAGGCATAGTGCACCATGAATTAATAAAGCATGAAATAGTAACATATGTCATAACGTGTTATGTTATAACATGATAAAGTTATTATAGCGCAATATGATGTAATATCCTCTCACATACTATATTGTATTATTATATATAAAAAATAATAAAATAAAACTTGATCTATACTACCATAGATTGTGGCATAGGCAAGTACAGCATATCATAACACAATATAGTACAACCTTGTAGACTAAAATGTAGTGTGATAAAATAAAACAAAAGACGGCATGACTAAATATGGTCTACCATCATACGATATATAATATACAGTAATGTGATTGAAAAATACGATACCATACTAGACAATGCAATGCAATACCATGCAAAAAACGCAATATAATTCAACGCAATGTACGATGGTACGTAACAGTATGTATTGGCACGGTATTATGATGAAAAGTGTTACACTGTAACATACTGTGGTGTGATACAGTACACTTTAATCACATGTACTATATCATATGGTGCGATGCAATACCATACACTATACTACACAATCATGTGTATATATCTACATTCTGCAGGTACCAACGCAATACAGTGCAGTACCCCCTGCGGGGGAAGACGCAAGAACTAGAAGAAAAAACTGCATAGATAGAAACTTCTGGCGCTCCGCATGACTTTCTCGGATCTGCGCTGGACCCCCTCCCTGGCGCTCGGAGCGCGCCAGGGGCGGCGCCGCCAGGGGAGCCCCCGTTCAGATCCAAGAAACCTGCGAGGAGCGCGGATAGTTTATGTTCATGCCGTTTTTTCTTCTTCGAATACCTCCGCGGCAAACGATGCCATACCCCCAGCTGGGGACAACACAATTCCGGTTCGGGGACTGGGTCGAGACCTCTGGGTGTCGACGTCATGATAAAATTATGACGTCGGGGCTCTGGGGAGGGGGAGCCTTGTATTAGGTCGGGCATGTCCCCCAACAAGCGGATTCTGGACGAAACTTAAATATTGTTCACAGAATACACAAAATAGTCAGAACAGAATCGAAAGATCGCCCCAGACTGCTTTTCACTATTTTGGGGTATTCCTCCTGGAGAGGGACATGACGGACGCCTTGTGACGGGAGAGCGTGCGGCAGCATCGTCCACGTCCAGGCAGTAGTAAGAAGGATTTCGCGTGGCTCAAGCGAGCCGCTGCGTTAGACGCATGAAGACTAGAATTAAAAAAACACACAAAAACGAAAATAATGTAGAAAAAAAGATGCAAGCAGCAGTACAGACGGAGAGAAGAAAAGATGAGTGAGATGATGATGATGATGATGATGATGATGATTGATGATGATGAATCTGATGATGCTGATGATGCAGCATGTCCCCATGGCTGAACACGCCGACAGAAGCAGAAAGCGGAACAGAATACCGCAGCGACAAAAGCACGACGACGCCGCAAGAAGGGCATGTCAGACGCCGCATACATACTACCTCGCCGTCGCCGCTCCAGAAGCCGCCCCCTTCCTCCGCCTCCTCCTCCTACTTCTATTCTCCTCCCCCCTCCTTCCTCTCCTCCTCCTCCTCCTCCTTCTCTCCTCCTCCTCTCCTCCTCCTCCTACCCCTCTCCCCCTCCTCCTCCTCCTCCTCCTCCTCCCTCCTCCCTTCTACCTCCTCCCCCTATCCTCCTCCTATTCCTCCTCCTCCTTCTTTTTTTCCCTTCCTCGCCTCCTCCTCCTCCTCTCTTACCCTTCCTCTCCTCCTCCTCCTCCTCCTCCTCCTAGCTCCTCCTCCCTCCTCGTCCTCCTCCTCCTCCTCCTCCTCCTCCTCCTCCTCCTCCTCCTCCTCCTCCTCCTCCTCCTCCTCCTCGAGGTCAGCGTCTCTCCTCTTCGTCGCCGCCGAACAGTGGAGGCGCTCCACGCGAGGGGCGGGGGCGCCCGCGCAGTGCCCGCCGTTGCACCCCCGGCGGATCGATCGCCGCCCGAGGCAGAAAAGCCCAGGGCCGCGAGGCCCTCGGGACGTGGAGAGTGCCTTCGAGCGGGGGGGACAGAGGACAAGCAAGCAGGAAGGCGAGAGAGGAGGGGGGAGGGGGAGGAGGAGGAGGAGGAGGCGAAGGAAGAGGAGGAGGAGGAGGAGCGAGGAGGAGGAGGAGGAGGAGAGGAAGGAGGAGGAGGCGGAGGAGGGAGGAGGAGGAGGGACGAGTTTCTATTCCCCGCCGAGAACTTCGGGGGGGGAAGGGCGGGGGCGGGGCGCAGCACTAAAGACCCTCTGGGGTTAGATGGTGGTCGGAGGATCGCGCCACATCGCCGATGCATCGTCGATGCACTGGCGACGCCAGCGATGCATCGGCGACGTCGGCGCGGAGGCAATCGGGCTCCACATCGAGCCGCATCGCCGATGCATCGGCGATCCGGCGCGATCCTCCGCCCCCATTTACTCGGACCCGGTCTTGGAGGTCCAGATCTTCCCCCGCCCTGGGGAAGCCAAAAGGTGCCGATACAGCTACTCAGTGGACCTCTCCCGGGGTGCGCTCTGACCAGAATCTCGAGGCGAATCCAGCGGTGGCGACGAGGGCCCACCAGGAGGCCGAAAAAGGGTAGAACCAATGAAGGGTAGCGGTATGGGTACCTTCTCCTCTTCTGACACCCCGCGAAGGACCCCCGCCGCGAGCATGGCGAGCAGGGCCAGCGAGGCCGCCGCCTCTTGGCGGCGCGCAGAGGGGGGTAGGGGGAGAGGGGAAAGCTTCTTAGAAGGGGGCTGCTCCTTAGAAGGCGCCGGCCTCACATCTATAAATCAGGCCCGCGCCTTCTCTCGCCATCGCTCGGACGCCCGTTCCCCATGCATGTTCCGGCTTCGTGCGTGTGTGCTCTTCTTCCGCAAAATGATCCAAGATGCTCCTCGGTGGTTCTCGCCGAGAGAAAATGCAAACGCCCGAGCGATGCCAAGTAGAGCTCTCGATTGGGGTCTCGTTTGCAGTCTTGCAAGCCCTGGGGGCGGGTCCAAGCGTCACGCTTGCAACGCAGTGCTCCAACAAAGCCTTCCCACCTCCCCCGCTGGCCTGAGGTCGGGCGTGTCCTCGAAAATTAGCATGTGTCAAAACGTGCTAAAAATAGTCAACAATAATCGATAAATCCGCCCCTGTATTCTGGGCATTTTCTTAGGGGGGAGGGCTCAGGGTGAAATCCGTATGGGCTTTCGGACCTCGAAAATCAACCCGTCCTGTGATTCACCTCTTGCAGATTCCGGCCTCGAACATCCATCGAAAGGGCACTTCGGATTTCACCCTTCGCCATCCACCCAAAAGAAAATGCTCGGGTATTAGTGAATGCCTACTTTCGAATATTCCCCCTGTAGAGGGACCCGCAAAAGCAAAAGCAAAAGCATAGCAAAGCAAAAGCATAGCAACTGATGCTGCTTTCCTAGGGGCTCCAACTTCTAGGTAGGGTCGCACTGGGGTAATTTCGAATACTCCCCCTGTGGAGGGACACGCCCGACTTCACGCTGGGCCCCCCCGCGGCGCGCGGCCGCCGCCTCTCCCGCGGCCGCGCCGGTGCCGCGGGCGCCCGCGCCCCGGCCGCACGCGCGGTGCGCCCAGCCCCTGGCCGGCGGAGGCAAAGAGGAGGAGCGAGGAGGGGGAGGACGAGGAGGAGGAGGAGGAGGAGGAGGAGGAGGAGGAGCGAGGAGAAGGAGGAGGAGGAGGAGGAAGGAGAAGGTGGGAGGAGGAGGGGGGAAGGAGGAGGGGAGGGAGCGAGGAGAAGGAGGAGGAGGAGGAGGACGAGGAGGTGGGAGGAGGAGGGGAGGGGAGGAGGAGGAGGTAGGAGGAGGAGGAGGAGGAGGAGGAGGAGGAGGAGGAGGAGCGAGGAGGAGGAGCGAGGAGAAGGAGAGGAGGGAGGAGAAGGAGGAGGAGCGAGGGAGGAGGAGGAGGCGAGGAGGAGGGGAGGAGGAGGAGGAGGAGGAGGAGGAGGAGGAGGGCGAGGAGGAAGAGGAGGAGGAGGAGGGGAGGGCGAGGAGAAAGAGGAGGTGGGGGAGGGGGGGGGAGGAGGAGAGGAGGAGGAGGAGGAGGATAGCAGCAGCAGCAGCAGCGAGGAGCAGCGAGCGAGGAGGAGCGAGGACGAGGAGGAGCGAGGGAGGAGGAGGAATGAGGAGCAGTAGTGGGAGGGAGCGCATATAGAAGCCTCCTAGATTGGGTCGGAGTAGATGGGGTCGAAGGATCGCGCCGCATCGCCGATGCATCGGCGATGCATAGGATCGAGCCGCACCGCCGATGCATCGACTCTGCGGCGCGATCCTCCGACCCCATCTGCTCGGACCCCATCTAGGAGGCATCTAGGAGACCTAGAGCATAGCCCGAGGGCGGTCGGCTTCACGCAGGGAGGGGCCAGGGGAGTGAGGCCCCTCTGGTGCGCGCCACTTCGGGGGGGCAACCGGGGGCGCCCTGCGGGGGCAACCGGGGGACCGAATACCTTCGGGACACCCCTGCTGAGAGTCGGGGACACGTTGCGCCGAGAGCGGGGGCTGCACTCGCTGGCGGAGGCAAGAGGAGGCGAAGCGAGGGGGAGGAGAAGGAGGAGGAGGAGGAGAACGCGGAGGAGGAGGAGGAGGAGGAGCGAGGAGCGAGGAGAGAGGAGCGAGGAGCGAGGAGGAGACGAGGAGGAGGAGGAGGAGGGCGGAGGAGGAGGAGGAGGAGGAGGAGGAGGAGGAGCGAGGAGGAGGAGGAGGAGGAGGAGAGGAGGGGGAGGAGGAGGAGGAGGGAGGAGGAGGAGGAGGAGGAGGAGGAGGAGGAGGAGGAGGTCAGGAGAGGAGGAGGGAGGAGGAGGAGGAGAGGAGGAGGAGAAGGAGGGGAGGAGGAGGAGGGGAGGAGGAGGAGAGGAGGGGGGAGCGAAGAGAGCGAGGAGGAGCGAGGGGGGGGAGGAGGAGGAGGAGGAGGAGGAGGAGGAGGAGGAGGAGGAGGGGAGGAGGAGGAGGAGGAGGAGGAGGAGGAGGAGGAGGAGGAGCGAGGAGGAGGAGGAGGAGGAGGAGGCGGAGGAGGAGGAGGAGGAGGAGGAGGAGGAGGAGGAGGAGGGGAGGAGGAGAGGAGGAGGAGGAGGAGGAGGAGGAGGAGGGGGGGGGGGAGGAGGAGGAGGAGGAGGAGGAGGAGGAGGAGGCGGAGGAGGAGGAGGAGGAGAGGAGGGGAGGAGGAGGAGGAGGAAGAGGGAGGAGGAGGGAGGAGGAGGAGGAGGAGGAGGGAGGAGGAGGAGGAGGAGCGACGAGGAGGAGGAGGAGGAGGAGGAGGAGGAGGAGGAGGAGGAGGGGGGAGGAGGAGGAGGAGGGGAGGAGGAGCGAGGAGGAGCGAGGAGCGAGGAGCGAGGAGCGAGGAGGAGGAGGAGCGAGGGGAGGAGGAGGAGGGGAGGAGGAGGAGGAGGAGGAGGAGGAGGCGGAGGAGGAGGAGGAGGCGGAGGAGGAGGAGCGAGGAGGATGAGCATGGGAGGGGGTGGGTAGCCCGAAGGCGGGGCCGGCTGCACGCAGGGAGCGACCACGGGAAGGAAGGGCCCGCTGGTGCGCGCCCTTGCGGGGGTCACGGAAGGCGCCCAGGGACGCACCAGCAAACAGGCGGAAATCCCAGGACTCCCCAAGGTTTTCCATTTCACAAGTTCTTGGCTTTTCGTCTCCTCGGAATCGACGATTGTTTGTGTCTGTGTGATTTTTCTCCTGGGGTGGGTAGCCCGAGGGCGGTCGGCTGCACGTAGGAGTCACCGTACACCCGTGCTTCGAATTAGGAAGTCTTCTTGCCTAGAAAATTGCCGTCTCTCTCAATGTTTTCGTAGACAGGTCAGATATACGAATGTTTCTACGAAAACGAGGAGCTCCCAGGAAACACCCTGGGTCCAGTCCACATTCTTGATTTTTGAAGCGAAATCTGGAATCCACGAGCGTTGCTGCTTTTTCGTACGACGTCTGAGAGGCGTAGGACAGCTTGACTCTTGGTGCGCTCCTTTCGCGGGCAATGAAGGACCGAATCCAGACGGGTAGGCCGCTTCAGGCCAGTGCCTGGGTGAACCCTTTGTGAGCCCGCACCGAGGGTCACTCCCGTGAAGGGTCACTATCGCGCGAAGCCGTGGGCGGGCATGAGAGATCCAGGAGGAGGGAGGAGGGAGGGAGGGAGGGAGGGAGGGAGGGAGGGAGGGAGGGAGGGAGGGAGGGAGGGAGGGGAGGAGGAGAGAGGAGGAGGAGAGGGGAGGAGGAGGGGAGAAGGAGGAGGAGAAGGGGGATGAGGGGGAGGAGGAGCAGGAGGTGGAGGAGGAGGAGGAAGAGGAGGAGGAGGAGGAGGAAGAAGAAGAAGCAGGCGGCTTCGCCCAGGCTCGGACCCCCAGGGGGCCATCGCAGCTCGATCCGGCCCAAACAAAATCCGCGGAAAGATGGTGCCCAGGGCTCTGGCCGTCGTCTTTCGCGAGGCAACACTTTTTCGCTGCGTCGGATCTCAGGGCATTCGCTGGAGATCTCCGTCGAAGACGTGAGCGATCGTAGTCCCTGGATGCGCGTGATTGAAAAGGCCCAGGGACAGACACTAACAAATCGACACAATTCCCAGGATTCCCCCTCTTTTCCATACGTTCTGGATGTTCGTCCTCCCCCCCACACACACACACACACACACACACACACACACACACAAACTTCCCTTGTGTTCCATACCTTCTTTCGGATCGACGTATACTTGTGCCTGTGTCTTCCTCCCCTCCCGAGCAGTGCCCGCCCCAGAAGCTGCCCGCCCCATGTTGCACGCCGCCAGCCTCGCCGCCTCGCGGAGGAGGGACGCCACTCCCAGCGCGTAGCGCACGAAGGCGGGCACGGCGGCGAGGCCCAGGAGGACGGTAGCGGCCTTGCCCGCCGGGCGACGGGCGGCATGGCACGAACTGCTCCGCCGCCTGGGGGGCGCCTGCCCCAGGCGGCTGGGAGGTCTGTGCCCTTGCGGTGGCACGTCGGGGCATGAGGAGGCAGCTACTGGGAGGTTTTGCGTCGGAAAAATTACGGAGGATTAGGCCCCATTCGGGAGCTATCACGCCGGAGTGGGCCTCGGATTAAGCGGGAGTAAGCCGGATGAAGCGGGATTCAGCGGGATTATAATAGCGGGATGAAGCCAGATTAAGCCGGACTTCGGACCAGTGCAAAATCAGAATTTGACCTCCCAGGAGTTGCATCCCAAGGGGTATGAACTGTCCAGCCGCCGTGGGGCAGGCGTCCCCGACGGCGGGAAGAATTGTGCTACACTCAGGTCGGGCGTGTCTCCCTGCAGGCGGGCTGCGGACGAAAAGTACAGAATACCCAAAAAAATACGCAAGACAAGCCCAAAAATGGTCAAAAAATCGTCTCCGGACTACTTTCTGACTATTCTTGAATACTCCTCCTGTAGAGGGACAGGCCCGACTTAGTGCTATACCCCTCTCCGTCGGCCGAGCCTTGCCCCACCGCGTGTGCGGGACGTGCGCGCCGTAGCCGACGGTGGAGGCCAGCGAGAGGGCAAACTGCGCGGAGCCGAACGGTGTCCACGCCTCTTGGCTGCGCCGAGGAGGCCCCCTGGGAGGGGAAGGGGACAGCGCATCGTGGCCCAGGGCGCGTGCGCGTGCTAGGGGGAGGGGACGGGGAGAAGCCCGTCACGGGAAAGTCTTCGGCAGGCTTGGTAGACCGTGCGGACCCAGGCGGTGCTATCGTCAGGTCGGGCCTGTCCCCCCACAGGGGGATTTTGGACGAAAAGTCAAAAATTGTCAAAAGATAATTTCACCAAAAAAACACACACACACACACACACACACACACACAAGACAAAAACAAAAAAAACAAAAAAACAAAAAAAAAAAAAAAAAAAAAAAAAAAAAAAAAAAAAAAAAAAAAAAAAAAAACTCTGACTAGTTTGGGACTATTTTTTGATTTTCTCCCAGAAGAGGGGCAGGCCCGACCTGAGGCTGTCACCACCCACCTCCTCGGAGGACGCCCCCGAAGCGAGCCTCCCTGTCGACCATCGAGTTGCCCGTGTCGGGCCCGAAGAACGGCGTCAGCCGGCTCCGGAAGCTCGCCGCGTTCTCGCAGAAGGGCAGGCGCCGCAGCAGCCGCTCGTCGCAGCCTCCGAAGCGCGCGAGGGCGTTCAGGTCCTCGTACATCCTCGAGCGCGTTTTTGTTCATTTTCGGCCATACTGGGCATTATGGGGGGGGGAGACAGGGGGGGGTATAATGTACCCGGGGGGGATATTGATTATTTTCGGCCATAATGGGCATTATAAGGGGGGGGGACAAGGGAGGGGGTCTAATGTACACGGCGGCAGCGCCCGGAGCGCGCCGGAGGGGGGATGGGGCGTTACGTTGAAGGGGGGGGAAGGGGGGGGGCCGGGGGCCATACTGCCCATGAAGACCCAGGCAATAGAGAAAAACACGCTCCTCCCAGTGGCAGCGACGGGGGCACTCGGAGTGGACAAAGCCAGAAGACAGCAAGAAGGAGCGGGCAGCTGTGCGGCCAGCGTGCCTGTGATGATGATTGTCACGCATCCACAACAATCCACAACTCCATCGATCGCCAAATCCAAGATCGCCCGTCTGCAAGTACGTATTACACCAAATTGTGAAACCAAACCGTGCGTATGCAGATCGCGCATTGGATGATACTGGCGGGCACGCAGGACAAACACTGGGGCACCGCACCGCGCGGTCGAAGGACGCGGCGGAATGGGATCGTGACGCCATGCGAGGCGTCAGTCCTGCACTCTGCCAGAAGCTCGGGGCGGGCTCAGGATCATTCAGCAAAGTCCCCACGGCGACCTTGCAAACCTCTCCCCGAATTACTGCCCTGCACATGCTTCGGGCCCACCCGAAGGCCCGCCGGGAATCGCCTTGGCGCCTTGAGATCCGCTAATCACTTGGAGAGGAGGGGCAGGCTGATGCCGCACGCAGGAACACGAGTCCTGTGCGGAACAGTGCAGCACCTGCATGACTCATAGGATGAGGGCACCGCGACTCATCGCGAAGTCGGACTCTGCTTTGGATTTGGGCTCGGGCCCGACCATGGACCCAGACTCGACCAGGACACGGATCCGGCCTCAGGATTGGATTCGAATCGTGTTCGGACTCGGATATGCCTTCGGATGCGCACTCTGGCTTGGGACCCGTGCGAACCTCGGGGCGGGGCCACTTTGTAAGAAAGTTGAAATACACCCGGCGCACCGTCACGACGGAAAAAACGGGAGGGAAAGGGGCAAGGGGAGGATGAGGGAAACATAGCAAGAGAGGGATGTGCACACGCCCCTGCGCACCCGCACACACACACACACACACACACACGGACGCACACGTGACTCGCACTTGCGCGTCACGGGTCCGCGCGCCCGCGCTGTGGTGCAATCGACGAACACCACCCGCCACAAGGTCAAGCTTTACAGGAGGAGCCCACGGAGCCACTGCTGACCCACGAGCGGGAGAGCCCACGTGATAAGAGAGATGGGCACCGAGAGGCCTGTGGCAAGCAGGCAGGCAGGCACACGCGCGCGCACGCGCTCGAACTAGCTGGTGCAGCCATGGATCCGGCGGCCAGCGCGAGGCGCAGGATGGTCTCGCGCGGGAGGAGGGAGGGGGAGGAGGAGGAGGAGGAGGAGGAGGAGGAGGAGGAGGTGAGCAAGGAGGAGGAGGAGGACAGCGAGGAGGAGGAGAGCGAGGAGGGCGAGGAGGAGGAGGAGGAGGCCGAGGAGGAAGAGGAGGAGGAGGAGAAGGAGGATTAATGCCTCCTGGGCTGCTCGCGGGGATGGTTTCCCGAGCAGATGTCCCCAGATACACAAGCGGGCGATGGGAAGCAACGGTCGGCCGCGGAGGACGGAGGGAAGCGCTGGAAGAACAGGTCTCATTCGAGAACGTACGCACGCGCGCACGCGCACACGCCGTTTTGTTATGGCGGAGCGCCCTCGAGCCGCTCGGGTGCGGACGCGGCGCAGCGCATCCCAGCGACCGGCAGCGCGTGGGGAGGGGTGCGAGAGAGGAGAGAGAGGAGGGAGGTGGCATGGACGAAGCGGTAATGGTACGCACGTGTGCACAGATGCGCACGCACGTGCGGGAACATGCGCGCACGCGGAAACTCCCACGCCAGCACACACACACACACACACACACACACACACCACACACACACACACACACACTTGCTGGTGGTCACGGCCTCACGCGCAGCGTCGAGGCGGAGAAAATGAACGGGCGAGCGCGCGCGCGGCGGGCCGCTCAGCACACACACACACACACACAACACACACACACACAACACACACACACACATTCACACACACACACACAAACACACGACACATATATATATATATATACACACACACAACACACACACAACGCGCACACACACACACAACACAACACACACACACAACACACACACAACTACTTTTGAGCGGTAGCGGCCTCGCGCGCGGCGACGAGGCGGAGTAACTCAAAGTGGCAGAGCGGGCGCGCACGCGCGAGATCGTTTTGGACGCCGCGCCAGCCACCATAGCGGCTCAGGGCACATAGCCATCCAGGCATGGATGGCGGGGAGGGAAAGCGCCGCCCGCCGCGGGACGCCCCACGCGGAGACGAAGCGAGCAGCCGCCATGGGGAACACAGCCAAGTGGGCGCGGAAGCCGGCCGCGCACGCGGCCGCCCCGCCAGGAGGCACGAGGCGTTGACGGCGATGCCAAAGGCGGAGCAGGAGAGAAACACCGCGAGAGGCGAGAGGCGGGCAGGCAGAGCGCCCGGGGGCCTCAGCGCCTGGGCCGCCGCCCTCGGCCGGACTGCTCGCGGGATTGCTGCAGCGCGCTTCCGAAGGGCCGCGGCAGCGCCAGCGCCCGAAGGGGCGAGGGCGGAGCCTGGCGCGGCGGGAGAAGCGGCGAGGAGAATGGCAGCAGGGAGGGCGCGGATGAGGAGGCCGAGCTCAGAAGGAGAAAAGGGGCGAGGGCCGGGGGCCCTGGCTGGCGGCTGGGAGGGACGCGGTCGACGCAGTCTGGGTGGCCCACACGCGACAGGCCGCGCTGACGAAGTCAACGCGGATAAAGTCGGCATCCAGCACGGCTGCCACTTGGCAGGCAAGGGCGCGGTGCATGGCGCCGGATGCCGCAGACGGGACGGCCCCCGGCCGGCCGCGGCGCGGTGCTTGGGCGGCAGGGCGCCCGCTGAGCCACAGTGCACCTTCGAGCGGGGTCGGGCCTGGGCGGCTACAGAGCTGGCCAGCGGCCTGGCTCCGATGGCGCGTGGGGAGCTGGCGCTGTCGGGGGCGCGCGGTGCAGAGGGCGCGCGTCGCGCTGCCTGGGGCCGCCCGGCATCGCGGGGCGCCGACGCGGGCCTCGGGCGCGGCGGCACCCCGGGCGCCGCCCGCCCACGGGAGCGATGAGGAGCCGGCCAGGGCAGGCCCCAGGGCGCGGGGCCCCTCGTGGCTGAGAGGTCGTGGCGGGCAGCCCGGCTGGGCGGACCGGGAGGAGGGCGTGTGGAGCTTGCGCCGGGCTGCGCGGGCCCCCCGGGGCCGGGGGCGCGCTCCCGCCACAGGGCGGAAGGGCAGGGCCGGGGTCAGGCGCGCGCGGCGAGTCAGCCTGGGCCAGACGACGCCCCTCGCGCGCCGCCCGACCAGGGCGGCCTCGTCAGGCGAGGTGGCCACGGAGCCCCGCGGCGGGGTCGCCGACGGCATCAGGGTGGCGCGGGGACACGGGCCGGTCGACGGCCCAGACCACTTGCACCCCGGGCGCGGGGGCACTGCCCACCGCCGCGCGCGGGCGCGACGGGGAGCCAGAGGCACCCTCCGGGGCGGCGGCGCCCCGCAGCGATCCGCGGGAGGCCGCCCTGGACCGTTCGCCGGGGAGGCACTGCGCCGAGTCGCGGCGCTGCTCGTCGGACTTTTGGCGCCAGCCCTGGAGGCGCCAGGAGCCCCGCCCGTCGACGGGGGCATGCGAGCACTTGGGCCCCAGCTGCCGTGGGCTGGCGCGGCAGAGGCGACGGCCCCATGGGAGCGGCATGGACGAGGAGGCCCCTCCAACGTTCAGGGCGCCTGGTGTGCTGCCTAACATCGTGGACGCCGCGCACGAGGAGGTCTCGGCAGGGGACGGCGGCCGCAGGCTCGCACCCGCGGGGCCGCTCCCCAGGCCGCGCGCTGCTCCCGCGCGAGACCCTCTGAAAGCCAGCTGCGCGTGCACCAGACGCTGGCCCCCGATCCGCTTGCGCCCGACGCGCGGGGGGGCGGCGCCGCCTGCCAGGGGTGCTAGCTGCCGCAGGGCCGGGGACATCGGCGCGGGCCCCGCTGGCGGACTGGAAACGGGGCCGGTCCCCTGGGGCCTGCGCTCGGGGCGGAGGCCTCACCGTCGCACCAGGCCGCGGGCAGGTCATCGGCACCGAGCTGGGGGGGAGTTGAGCTCGATCCATCGGCGGCGCGCCGGGACAGGGCGGAGGCCTTGAGCTCTGCGGCTGCAGGCGAGAGCTCCACCTGCGTCGCCGCGCCCGACCCCGAGGCCGTCTGCGAGGGGCACTGTGGCGGGCCCTCAGGGCGGGGCGGGGGCGCAGGGCGACGAGGAGCTGGAGGTACGACAGGGCGTGGTCGCGCGGGGCACGCAAGGGCGGTTTGCTCCGCCGGGCCCGCTGGCGCTGGACAGTCAGGAGCCTCTCCGCAAGGGGGGGGCCCGGGGCGTCTCACGGGGGGCCCCCCGCAGAGCAGGCGCAGGCCGGGGGAGGTCGGAGCTGGAGCGCTCGCGCGAGGCGCCCCGCCCGTCGCCAGGGGCGGACGCGGCCCGAGACGCCCCGCCCCCGCGGGCGCCGGCGGGCGCGCGCGCCGGAGTCGGCGCCGCCAGGGGGGCCCGGGCGAGCCGCCGGAAGCGCGCCCGCGCTCGAAGGCGCCCTTGGTCTCGGCGCCCCGTCGCTCGCGCCTTTGCCGCTGGGAAAGGGGCGGTTTCAGGAAAAGACTTGGCGAATAGATCGGTGCCGAGCGAGGGGAACTCGTCGTTCCCCCACGCGGTGGGCTTGCAGGCTGAGCGCCTTGTAGCCGATGTCAGCCCAGATCTCGATGAGGAGCACGCTGGGGTGGCGCTTCGAGTAGGCGGCTGGCCTGGCTGTGCTCTGGCCTGGTCATTTTCATCGGCGTGCAAGCGCGCGCAGTAGGCCCGCCACTCGGCGCTGCAGCCTCCGCCGTCGATGGGAGCGGCGGCGAGGACGGTGAGGGAGTCGGCGTCCTGGGCCCCCAGGTTGCGCTCAAGCGCGGCGAGCTTGGATGCGCGCTCCGCGGGCACGGGCGGCCGAGCGACGCCCCCGCCCAATGAGCCGGGTGGGCCAGCTGGAGAGAGCGCGGAGTCTGCCCACGGCCGCTCCAAGCCCTCGCCAGGGATCTCGGCCACACTGGCGGCCTCCAGGGTGGGGCATCTCCGGCAGCATGCGTCCGCGGACGCCGCGGTGGCTGGCCCTGGCACGCTGGCGGCGGGGAGGTGGTCCGCCAGAGCGTCCAGGGCGCGCTCATCTGGGCGGGCACCCCACCGGGCTAGCGCGGCGAAGGCCTGGCGGTCGGCAGGGTCAGCGATGGCGTCGCTGCCCAGCGCGAACAAAGCGAGCCGCACGATTGCCTTGAGAGGGGTCTCGATGGCGGTCCGGCAATCCGCGAAAACGTCGGCGGAGACGTCGAAGGCGGCCAGCACCACGTCCCCGACCTCGCGCCCCCCTGCGTAGCAGGACGCCGCAAGGCCAAGGAGGGCCTGCGGGTAATCACCGACGTTGCTGGGGTCTCCCTGTGGAAGGGCAAAGTCGTCAAACTCCCGCACGGCGGCATTTGCGAGGAGGCCGCGAGCCAGGTGCGCAGGGGAAGGATGCCGTGCTGGCCAAGCGCGTAGGGCGGGGCCAGCAGGAGGTGGGCAAGATTGTCGGGAGGGTCAGCCTGGTGGAGCGGACAGCGGCAGGTGGCGGGCGTGAGGAAAGCAGGGATGCGGCGCGCCTCCATGATGCCGCCGGTCTTGCGCGTCTTGGGGTCGGAGTAGCTGACCCTGCGCGGTACTGCGAGCGCCTTCACGAGGTCGCCGGGGACCTGGCGCGCTGGGTATGCGGCGAGGCCGAGGTGCCGCAGGAAGCCATGCCATCATAGAGCGTGGGTGGCGTTGCTGGCGTCGCAGCCGAGCACGGGGTGGATGTTCCAAGCGAACTTGGACAGGATATTGCGGTCGAGGTCCAACACGCTGAGGACTTCGTGGGAGAACTGTATATGCGTGGGTGGAGGCGGAGGACGCACGCGAGCATGGGGAGGAAAGCGGGCCTGCCCGCAAGCTTCCTAAACCATAGCCGCAGCTTGTCGCAGGCTTCCGCAAGTGAGAAGTCCGGAGGAGGAGGCTTGCGCAAAGAATGCCTTCTGCTGCTGCGCGGAGACCGCCTCCGCTTTCTGCTCTTCCTGGCGGCCGTGCTTGGCGGGCCGGGGGACGCCCACACTGGCCACTTTTTTGGGTCGAGTCTGGTGAAGCTGGCAGCCTCGCCTTCGACAGGCACCCTCTGGTTGGTGAGCTTGCCCACCAACTTGGCCTGAAAGGGCAAGTAAAGGAGCACCTGGAGGCGGGCGTCTTGACTGGCCTGGGCCATGCCGCAGTTCATGACCAGGATGGAGCCGCACTCGCCCTGTGTGAGCGCCACGTTGATGCGGCGGGCGCAGTCTGCGTGCCCGAGGACGTAGCCCACGTGGACCTGACGCAGGAGGCTTCCCTCCCTTGCGTTTGGCCAATGGATGTGATCCCCACGCTGGGCCAAGTCGCCGCAGGCTTGGAAAGAGCACTGGCCATCGGGGGTTGCTCGACGTGCCCCTGGCCCAAGGTGCCCCCAGCTTGTCGGCCAATTCTGGAGCGCCTGAGGCCCTCTGGGCCTCGGTAGAGGTGCGCGGGAGGCCGCGGGGGCCTCCTTGGAAATCCTGGGGGCACCTCGGGCAAGAGGCACTCCTAGCATTCGGTCGAGCATGTCCCCCCCCCCTACAGACGGATTCTGCACGAAACAATTTAAAAATAGTCAGAAAGAATGATACCCCAAAATATTCCAACAACCTAATATTCAAAAAAAACAAGTCGTCTCCGGACCAGTTGTTTGACTACTTGCGCATACGCCTCCTGCAACGGGACCGGCCCGAGTGACTTCTGGCAGCGCCCGAGGCCAGGCGTGCCCACCATGCCGGAGCGCTGGCGGGCACCCGGCAGCCCAGCGCAGCGCCCCTGCGGCTGCCCGTGGGCCCGCCGCGGTGGCGCGCGCCGCCCCGCGGCCGACACGGGGGGCGGGGACCGCGGCCGAGAGGCTGGGGCCCACCGTGCGGCGGCATGTGCGGCCGAGAGGAGGCGCCCGGGCGACCCCGTCCCTCGCAGGGGCCGCAGGAGCTGGAGGCCCTCGCGTGCACTCCAGAGTTCGTAATTAAAAGGGAGGGGGGTCTCAATTTCGGGGGGGGGGGTCTCTTCCAGGCCATCCTGGAGGGCCTGGGGGGGGTCTGGGGACGACGTCTTGGAGGGCTCTCCCACGGGGGAGGTCTGAAATGGCTTGTCTTGGAGGGTCCAGACCCCCTCCCTTTTATTACGAAATCTGGAGTACGCGTCCGGCGGCACACGGGCGCAGAAGCGGCCGTCGTGCCCCGGCGGGGAGGCGCGAGGGCTGTCGAAGCAGCGGAGCGGCCGCTGCTGCGGGAGAGGGGCGCGGCCCACGCGGCACGTGGGAGGCTGGAGCGGACAGGCTCGGCCTGAGCGGGGGGCAGTGGCAGACGTCGCCCGCCTCGTCGCTGCCGGGGGGCAGTGGACGACGTCGCCCGCCTCGTCGCTGCCGCCTCGTCCGCGCCGCCTGGCGTGCAGCTGCGCTTGGGCCGCTGGGTCCCCAGGCACGTCCCACGAGAGAATCGCAGCAGCTCGGCCGCGAGGCCGCACTTGAGAAGGCCTCTGCAATAAGTCAAGGAGGGGGAACAAAGGAGGCCAAGATGCACGCGGTAGCATGTGTCCAGGCAGGTGACCATGCTGTCGTGGTACTAGACGAAATCGGACATCGTTTCGAGGAGGGAGACCTCGATGCCCAGCGCGACCGCAGCCTCGGAGCGAGAGGTTGGCCCGAGTTGCGCGTGGTCACTGATGAGTGCCACGGGGACGCCGTCCGCGACGGCCATGCTGACAGGGATGACGGTGAGTGCCTCCTTGGCCTGGCCAGCCTCCTCAAGCAGGGCGTGGCACCAGGGGGCGTCTGTCTGAGCTTGCCCTCCCCACATGGTGGTCGCCTTCTCGCACACACACACACACACTTTTTGCGTCGGCGGCTAGACAGAGTGACTGCGCTGGCGAAATCCAGCACATACACACACACACACACTCAATCACACACACACACACACATACACCCTCAGGAACAAGCACGCTGTCGAACCTATGGAGGAGCACGCTGTTGCGCTCGCTGGATCCATTCTCCGAGCCTGCCCGACGCGAGCACGAGGCCGCCCTATCTGAGGCCCCGGCAACACCTCCAGCAAACCGCGCAGTCGGCGTTGGCTCGCCTCGCACTTCCCCTCCGTCCTCCAGAGGCACCATCGCTACACCCAACAATATTCGCGCATATACGCCATCACACATGCTTTACTCCGCCGCGCTGGTGGCGGTAGTCAACGGGTTGAAGTGCGTGGCTCGCGCAGGGCAAGCTCCCCGTGCGGGAGGAGGATGAGGAAGGGGAAGGAGGAGGAAGGAGGAGGTCGGAGATCCGCGGAGGTGCCAGACACACCAGCAAAGGCCGGGGAGAACGCAGCACAAGGTGCAACGCCACAGCCCGGGAGGAAGGAGGAGGATAAAGAAGTAAAAAAGAGGGAAATGGAGGAGGAGAAGGAAGAGGACGACGACAAAGAGGGGCAGGAGCGGGAGGAGGCAAAGGAACGGCGAGGAGGGGAAGGGGAGGGCGGGGAAGGCGAGGCGGAGGAGCGGGAACGAGGGCCGGCGGCGAAGGGTCCTCCGGGCGCGCTCGTACCGCTGCAGCTCCTCGTGAGGGCTGTGACTGGCCTCTCCTCCCCCTCCTCCTCCTCCTCCTCCTCCTCCTCCTCCTCCTCCTCCTCCCCCTCCTCCTCCTCCTCCTCTCCTACCTCCTTCCTCCTCGATCTCCTCCTCTCCTCCTCCTCCTCCTCCCTCTTCCTCCTCCGCCTCCTCCTCCTCCTCCTCCTCCTCCCTCTCTCTCACCTCCTCCTCCTCCTCCTCTCTCCTCCTCCCTCCTCTCCTCCTCCTCCTCCTCCTCCTCCTCCTCCTCCTCCTCCTCTCCTCCTCCCTCCTCCTCCTCCTCTCCCCCTCCCCTCCTCCTCCCCCTCCCCCTCCTCCTCCTCCTCCTCCTCCTCCTCCTCCTCCTCCTCCTCCAGAAAGGGAATGAGAAGGGGAAAGATAAGAGAGGGGGGTAGGGAAGGGGAGGAGTAGGAGTAGGAGAAGGACGATAACGACGATAACGATGCCGCCGACGACGACGACGACGACGACGACGACGACGACGACGACGACGACGACGACGGCGACGACGACGATGCCGACGACGACGACGACGACGACGACGACGACGACGACGACGACGACGACGACGACGACGACGACGACGACAACGACGACGACTACAACGGCGAAGACGAGGGCGACGACGAGGGCGACGACGACGACGACGACGACGACGACGGCGACAATCACGACCACCACGACGACCACGACGACCACGACGACCACGACGACCACGACGACCACGACGACGACGACGACGACGACGACAACCACCACGACGACGACCACGACGACGACGACGACCACGACGACGACGACGACGACGACGACGACGACGACGACGACGACGACGACGAGGACGACGAGGGCGACACCGACGCCGACGCCGACGACGACGACGACGACAACGACGACGACGACGACGAGGGTGAGGGGAAGGCGGAGGGCGAGGGGCACCAGCAGCAGCAGCAGCAGCAGCACCAGCAGCAGCAGCAGCAGCAGCAGCAGCAGCAGCAGCAGCAGCAGCAGAGGGGGCGCGCCTCCTCGCGCTCCAGGCCTGGGAACACCAGCGCCCCCAGCAGGCAGGCCGCCGCCACCGCCGCGAGGCAGCCCCACGGCCTCCCGGAGGAGGCCCCGCCCGTCGTCGTCGTCCTCGTCCTCGTCGTCGGCGTCGTCGTCGTCGTCGGCGTCAGCGTCGGCGTCGGCGTCGGCGTCGGCGTCGGCGTCGGCGTCGGCGTCGTCTGCGAAGGTACGAAGAGGTAGGACGAGGACGAGGAGGAGGGACGAAGAAGGAGAGAGTGGAAAAGGAGGGAGGAGAGAAGGAGCAGGAGGGGTTAAGGAGACGGGTGAGGAGGAGGAGGAGGAGGAGGAGGAGGAGGAGGAGGAGGGGAGGGGGAGGGGGAGGAGGAGGAGGAGGAGGAGGGAGGTGGAGGAGGAGGAGGAGGAGGAGGAGGAGGAAGAGGAGGAGGAGGAGGAGGAGGAGGAGGAGGAGGAGGAGGAGGGGCAGGAGGAGGAGGAGGAGGAGGAGGAGGAGGAGGAGGAGGAGGAGAGGAGGACGACAGAGGAGGAGGAGGAGGAAGAGGAGGAGGAGGAGGAGGAGGAGGAGGCAGACTGGTGGAGGAGGAGCGCCCGGGTCAGAAGGACCACGCTAGAAGCGTGAGCGGTGAGCCGTAAGCCCAAAGTAGATATGCGAGAAGTTGTCGGCGGTGGCACTGGGACCCAGTCTGGGCCGCGACCCTCGCAGCAGCAGGGACTGCCGCGCTCGGCGGTCGAACGTGTGCACCAGGACGGTGGCGAAGAATGTATCGGGGCCCCAAAACCGTCTGGTGACGGGCAGGGGCGACCCCAGAATTCCCAACGACCTCACCACGCGGTCCATCGCCGCACGGTTTGGGGACCTTGAAGGCCCCAGTCGCCCGAGACGTCATCAGAGAACGACCCGAGTCCCAAAACCGCGCGGTGACCCCGAAACCCCACTGACTCACCACGCGGTGTGGTCACCACACCGTTTGGGTGCCCCCAAAATGTTGTCAATGTTGTAGAGGCGCGCCAACCGTGCTACAATCTGCGGCAGGCTGTCATTCACATCCTCCGTGTCCTGGTACGCCGCCCCTTCTCTAGGACCCAAGCCTGTGCAGCACAGAGGAAACTGCGAATGACCGCGTCGCCTGGCAGACCGCCCACCATGCCCCGCGACACCTCCAATAATGAGCGATCTCGCCGCTGCACCCCTCGCTACCATACCGGCACGGCACATGGCAGGGGCCGACATGCATCTGGAAGGACGCAGGCCAGGCTCTCACCAACGTGCGGCAACTCGCTCACAGTACACCAGGAAGAGCGTCCGAAAGCTAGTGACAAGGCTGCCGCCACCAGTCCGCAAGAGCGCAAGAGGCCGCCGCCACCGGCCCGCAAGGTCTGCAGGACATGTGCGCTGGGGCCACCAAGCCCTCATCCTGTTGGCAGTAGTGACACGGAGCATTTCGGGGATTGCACCTCCTCCTCCTCCTCCTCCTCCTCCTCCTCCCCCTCCTCCCCCCCCTCCTCCTCCTCCTCCTTCTTCCTCCTCCTCCTCCTCCCCCTCCTCCTCCCCCTCACGTTGAACGCGTTGAGGCCAGGATTGGCGGTGACGGAGGGCAGCATCCTGCGGATCGGCCCCTGCAGCGCGGCTGGCCAGCATCAAGGCTCCCCTCCTCTTGCGCTGAAGCCATGCACTGGGGGCCGCCACGGTCGCCGAGATGACGGCGACGAGATATTGCAGCATGGGCTAGGGCATGGCCCTACAGGCAAAGGACCAATTCCCCGCAGCAGCCAGCGCCGGCGTGAGGCCGTGGATGGCGCGGTCTCTCCGTGCTTCCGCGAATTCCCTCCACCCCCCTGAGGGTGACGTTCGCCGCGGGCCAGACTGGACGAGGAGGAGGAGGAGGAAGAGGAGAAAGAGGAGGAGGAGGAAAAGGGAGGAGAGAGGAGGAGGAGCAGGAGGAGGAGGAGGAGGAGGAGGAGGAGGAGGAGAAGGAGGAGGAGGAGGAGGAGAAGGAGATCAAGGAGGGACACGGAGAGAGGAGGAGGAGGAGAAGGAGGAAGGAGGAGGAGAAGAGGAGGAGGAAGAGGAGGAGGGAGGAAGAGGAGGAGGGTGAAGGAGGAAGGAGGAGGAGGAGGAGGAGGAGGAGAAGAGGAGGAGGAGGAGGAGGGGGAGAGGGAGGAGAAGGAGGAGGAGGAGGAGGAGGAGGAGGAGGGGGAGGCAGACTGGAGGAGGAGAAGGAGAAAGAGGAGAAGCCGTATCAGGAGGGCAGCGGGCTGAAGAGGAGCGAAGGGGGGAATGGGCAGGGAGAGGCGGAGGAGGAAAGGGAGGCCCCATGACGCAGGCCTGCTGGTCGAAGTGGTCAGTAGCAGCGGCTTCACCTCCACAGCGCGCAGACTGTTGAATCGCATCACCTGGCCGATGTTTCATGCCGTCTGGACTTCGAGGACACGTGGGCCTAAAGCAGGCACGCACTTTACGAAATTTTGCTATAAGAAATCTTGGGGCAGAGTCTTCGTCGACATTCAAGGGTCCCGAGGTGACCCAGGGCTCCTGTGGGTACCCGGGGCAATCGGGGGCTGCTGGCAAGCCGATTAATCTGATGTGCCTACTGCACTTCGAGTCCAACATGCTTGCTACATTTGACATGTTCATCATCCTGCTGATCCCCCTCTTGGATATAGTCCTTCCGTTCTGTGGGAAAAAAACCGCCCGCGGCTCACGCTCAGCGACTCCGCCTCCGCCGTCGGCGTGGCTCGTCAGCAGAATATGTACGTATCGGGGGAAGAGCAGAAAGGAAGGAGGAGGATGGAGACGGGGCGTTTCACTTGGTCCCCCTCTCCGCAAGCGCGGCTCAAAGGGCCCAGCCTGCCAGCGCGCCGTAGGCACTGTCCTCAGGCCTCCCCGAGTTCTCAGGACTGATGTTAGCCAGCGTGGGCCCCGAACAGTGTTTCTAGCAATAAAGGTGCTGCAATCTATGTGGTGCAATGCGTGTTGTGCACTATGCGTGGTCCAATCTATGTGGTGCAAGTTACGCTGTGCCATACATGTTCTGCTGTCTACGATGAGCTACATATGTTGCGCAACGTACAAGTTAAGAGGCACCATCTACGTGATGCAGTATCTGTGGCGCCATCTACGCGATGCAACATGTGTGGCGCAATATCCGCCACCGTGCCTCTGAGCACGGAGTGGGCGTCTCCTCAGGTCCTTTACCGCATCTTCTGAGCCTCACCCCTCGGTCATGAAGAGCTTCTCACGGGCCAAATCTACCGGGGTTTGTCGAGTGCCCTCTGGGGTTTGTCGCGTGCCCTCTGGGCTCCCTCGCTGCTTGTCGCACGACATTTCCGGGCCCAAGACGACCCCAACACGGGCGAAGAGGGCTTCAAGTGGCCCCCAAGACGGTCCGAGAGGGCCCCGAGTCGCCGAAAGATCGTTCCAAGACGCTCAAGATGGCCCCCAGACGGCCCAACAGGACTCCAAGACGGCCCCAAGAGGCCTCCCAAAAAGGCCCCAAGAGGCAAAAATCATTGATTCCCCTTAGGCGTTTGAAGGATGTTGGCCTTCTCGCCTTCTCGGCTTTCCGACATTCCAAAACGGCCCAAAACAGCCCAAGAGGCCTCCAAAAGAGCCCTAAGACGGCCTAAGAGCGTTCCAAGACGGCCCAAGAGGCGCCCAAGACGGCCCAAAAGGACCCAAAGAAGGGCCGAAAAGGGGTCCAAGAGAGGGAACACGAACAGAAAATCCGAGCCTTCCGCCCCAAGACGTTCCCAGGAGACCCCAAAAGACGCCCAGGAGGCCGCAAGAGCCCTCAAGAGGCCCCAAAGACCCCAAGAGGCCCCCAAAAGACCAAAAGAGGCCCGAGCGACCCCAAAACGGCCCCCGAGAGGCCCCCAAAGTTTCTTCAAGATTCCGGCGAAAATCCAATTGGACTGATTCATACCCACAGCACGGTGGCGGAATCGGCCGAACGCCTTGGATACACTACGTGGTGCAATTCACCTTGCCGAACTTGAAGTTGTCGACTCCACTGCTCGCGCAATCATCCTACCCACCCACACGCAACTTGGCTTGCAAAACCCATGCGGGGGCGATTGCGATGAGTGCTTGGCATTGACTGGGCCGCGCTAGCCCGCGCATGCCCGCGCTAGTTTGGCGCCACCGACGCGGCCGCGGTGGCGCTGACCGCTTGGTACTTCTCAGCGGGCACTTCAGTGCGAGTCGGCGACTTGGGCGGGCGCGATATCGTGGCAACGTCGACGGCGGTAGACACGATGATGATAGTAGCGATGGTGACGGTGCTGACAACGACGACGGCAAGGCCAATGACGGCACCGATGCTGATCATGTCGACGACGATGACGGCGTCCTCGCGTTGGTGATGAAGGTTTTGGAAGGAGTTCAACATGCGCGCGCGGCCGGCGTGCGAGAGTAGCCGCATGGTATTATTTGACATTGGTCGTGTCCACCCCCAGAGCGCGCGCAAGGGCGTTCTAATGAGTTCGGTATGCAGCGCGAGAGGCCCGCTTGGCAGAATTCCATTTAAAATTGAAACCGATGGTTGTCTTAAGAATTTGCAATAGCGCGAGCGCACGCTTTGTTGAAAACTGATGTTGCGAAACCATGTTTTTTTCACGTCTTGGACACTAGGTTTTCAAATCGTTGTGAAACCGAAGCTTTTTGACGGATTTCGGCATGCGCGCGCGGCGACGCGCGCGTGTGCACTTCGCCCCACTTTTGCAAAGGATTCTCGCGACGGCACGCGCGCAAGGGCGCCCGAACGATTTCGACATGCGCGCGCGAAGCCCTTTTGGAAGCACTTTATGAAAATGATGGAAAACCCATGGTTTTCTTACGAATTCGCAAGAGCGCGCGCGCAAGCGTTTTTTGAAAATCCGTGATGCGAAACCATGTGCTTTATTTTTATTTTGAACGCTCGATTTTGAAATCCTTGCGAAACCAAAAGTTGTTGAAGGATTCTGGCACGCGCGCGCGACAACGCGCGCGTGCATTTCGTCCCGTTTGTTGCAAGGGGTGCCCTTGGGCAGGTTGCCCGTCCTTACCACGCGGTTTGACTGTAGAATCTCCTATATGACCCAACATGGTAGCAGGGGTCCGTGCTGGGGCTCGCTTGGGGGCATTTGGGGCTGTCTTGGAGGCCCGGGGGGGGCCAGCGTCAGAGGCGAAAATATTTGGAACACAAAACGCACATGTGTATTTGAAAGTGTGTCGTATGCAGTCGGCCCGAATCATAGGGATGCGCGATGAGGACGCAAGACGCAAGGGCCCTGGACGCCCATCTCGAAGCTCCTCGAGCGGAGCGCGGCCAACGAACGTGGCCAAGGATGGACCGAGGAGACAAGGATGCAAGGGTACCCTTGGGAAACTTGCCCATCCTTACTGACTACCTACCAGACCACCCCAACCTAACCCGAAGACCCGAATTTGACCCGAATTTCGGGTTGGGGGGGGTACGGGTTCCATGTGTTTTTTCCATGTTCCCCGACCCCACCCCCACTGGAAATCGAGGATACATTTGGGCCTTCGGGTTGGGTTGGCGTGCTTTGGTGGGTGGTGCCTTACTATGCGGGCTCACTGTGTGCCCCAACATGGGCAACAGGGGTCCGTGCTGGGGCTCTCTTGGGGGGCCTCTTGGGCCGCCCTGGAAGCTCCCGGGGGGGGGGAGCAGACCCCCAAGGCCAAACTCCTTGAAAAACGCATGTGTGTTAAGAGCGTTCAAGACTCGAGGAGGAGGAGGAGGAGCAGCAGCAGCAAAAGGAGGAGGAGGAGGAGGAGGAGTGGGAGGGGGAGGGGGAGGGGGAGGAGGAGGAGGAGGAGAAGGAGGAGGGGGAGGAGGAGGAGGAGGAGGAGGAGGAGGAGGAGGGGGAGGAGGAGGAGGAGGAGCAGGAGGAGCAGGAGGAGGAGGAGGAGGAGGAGGAGGAAGAGGAGGCCAAGTGTCGTATGCTCGGCTTTTGATATTAAGAGTGTCCAAGACGACCGGAGAGGCTCAAAAAAACCCACCCAAGAACTCAGAGGAGCCCAAGAGGGGAGCTCGAACTGGCCTTTGGAGCCCTCTGCCCCTGGATGGCCCTCGAAACCGCCCGCCGGCCTCCCACTGGGCCTCGCGAGGCTCTCCCCCAAGAAGACCGCAGGAGGCCCCTTTGGGCCCCCGAGAGGCCCCAAAGATGCCTCCGCGGGGCCCCCAGGAGGTCTCAATACGTAGGGGCTCCCACAGAGGGCCCCAAGATTCCCTCCGAGGCATCCAAGAGGCCCCCAGGTCCACGGCCCAGGCAGGGTGGCGGGATGGGCCGACGGCCAAGATAAGCTACAATGGAGGACGCCCTCCAGAAGAGCAGGGGAGGACACCACCAGAGCCACTGGCATGGCAATGACGCGGCTCTCTGGACCCTGCTGGCGAGGAACGGGCCACAGCGCGCACCAGACATTGCAACCTGATCGGGTGGTCACGGTCCCCACAGGCAGCGCGTGAGGAATAGCGACACCCAGGTCGCAAAGAGCCACCTCGCGGCGAAGATGTGGACGAGCACAGCAAAGACGTCGACGGGGCGGTCGGCTCGGGGGGGGGGGCAGCGCAACACAGCAGGAACGCGACATCGCAGTGGCGGTTGTCAGCCCCCCTGAGACCAGCGGCGTCGTCGGCGGAGTCCCTGCGTACCTCTGCAGGGGGCCCCCATGGATGCCATCACGGTGGCAGGAGCTGTCCGTGGGATGCCTGGCGGCGAGGTGGCCGCTGGGCCCGAGTGGGCCACCTGTCCGCAAGCGCCTTCGCTCCTGCATGGACGGCCTCGACCAGGGTGGGCTCGGCAAGCGCGGCGGCCTGTGCGGCCGAAGAGCGCCCGCCACGCTCGCTGGCTCGTGGGCGAGGCCCGCAGGCCTGCCGCGCGGGGACCCGAGGACCGAGGTGGCGACGGGCGGTCTTGTGCCGGGCACAAGCACACGTGAGCCGAGGCTTGGCATCGGCCACGGTGGCCAGGGGCAGGTGGTGCTGCGCGATGGCCTGGGTGGCAGGAGGGAGGAGGGGAAGAGGGAAGAGAAGAAAGGCAAGGGAGAGGGCCAGGAAATCTCTGCTCGGGTCCAGCTTGGCGATAGTGATGATGGCGGCGACAGCGACGGAGACGGAGACGGAGATGGATATGGAGACTGAGATGGGATCATGATGGGGAGGAAGGTCAAGACCAAGATCGTTGGGGCGGAGACCATCTACAGTGGCAGAATCTCTCGACCAAGTCAGATATCCAGCACTTTATGCTGCGCCGTATCGATCCAGCACTTTATGCTGCGTACTCGGCGAAAGTGAGAGCACTGCCCAACTAGCCTTGAGAGGGCGCTGGAGACCCGATCGTGAAGATCAAACTGCCCACGCGTGGTAGCGATCCTTCCTATGTCTGCTCGGTTTCGAAGAGTGGCCGTGCGATCATAGGGGGGAGAGGACCGAAAAGCAAACAGCGATAGGCCACCTGGATGCAAGCTTCGAAAATAGCCTGGCGAGGGGCACACAACCGCATGCAGCTGCGCGCAGCGCGCCAGGCGCGGCCCTCTCTATTCACTGCGCACCGCGGGAAAAGACATTCTCGGACCGTAGGCGGAAGTCCCTGCGATCCGCGCGAGCGACTTGTCTAAATCGGGGGGGGTGGGGAGGAGGAGGGGGGAGGGCGGAGGGGGAGGAGGAGGAGGAGGAGGGAGGAGGAGGAGGAGGAGGAGGAGGAGGAGGAGGAGGAGGAAGGAGGAGGAGGAGGAGGAGGAGAGGAGGAGGAGGAGGAGGAGGAGGAGGAGGAGGAGGAGGAGGAGGAGGAGGAGGAGGAGGAGGAGGAAGGAGGAGGAGGAGGAGGGAGGAGGAGGAGGAGGAGAGGAGGAGGAGGAGGAGGGGAGGAGGAGGAAGAGGAGGAGGAGGAGGGGGGAGGAGGGGAGGAGGAGGAGGAGGAGGAGGAGGGGAGGAGGAGGAGGAGGAGGAGGAGGAGGAGGAGGAGGGGAGGAGGAGGAGGGGAGGAGGAGGAGGAGGAGGAGGAAGGAGGAGGAGGAGGCGGAGGAGAGGAGGAGGAGGGAGGAGGGAGGAGACGGGCGCCCTGACTGAGGCCGTAGGCGGAAATCCCGGGCGGGGGGGGGGGGAGGGGGCAAGGCACGACGCGCGTGAGGAGTGCGCCGAGTGGGGCGCGGTGCCGCCGCTCGGGCCCCTTCGCGGGGGCCGCAGGGCGAGCCGGGCGCGGTGCCACCGGGCGGGCGCCCTCGCCGCGGCCGCGAGCCCCCTGCGGTGGCACGGAGCGCGCGAGGGGTGCGCCGCACTGGGAGCGGTGCCGCGCCAGGCGGGTGCACTCACTGGGTTCGCACGTGGAGCCCAGGAGAGCCCAGAATCGAATCGAGAAGTCGGATCGGCGACCGAAATAAATCGGATCGGCGGAAATCGGCAGCCGAGTCGGGAGAAGTCGAATCGGCGGAAATCGGCAGACTAGTATGCCTCCAATAAGAAATCGGAACCCAAATCGGAATCCCGAATCGAATCGACTCGGAATCGGAAGCCACCGAAATCGAATCGAATCGAATCGGAGGAATCGAGATGAGCCCTGGGAGCCCCCTCATTAGGGAACCGAACTCTATACACCGACGCTTTTCCCGACCCTGCGCGGAAAGTCGCACAGGGGCGCGGACTCTGGCGTACACGGGATCCCGGTGTGTACATGTTTCGGTGTTCCCTTAGGAAAGCAAGGGAAACGTATACACCACACCACCCCGACGTCGTCCCCGACCCTCAACAAATCCTGGGACTGAGAAGGAGCCCGCCACCGGTAATGTAGATGTTCCAGCTTCCGGCTCATGCTAGCGGCGCCCATGCACCGTACCGTGCCCGGACTCCGTTCAGGCCCCGCGCTGGCGCAATGCGGTGCATAGTTTGCTCGGCTCTGGGGGGCAGGAGACTGTGCACCGTACCATTCCTCGGTCGAGGATCGACGACGCCTCGAGAGGCGCCCACGCGGTACGGCGCACACACGTCGTCCGCGGGTCCCTGTGCAGGCGCGAAACGTGTGAGGAGCGCGCCGACAGGGACGTGCGGAGAGCAGAGGCGAGGATGAGGAGGAGGAGGAGGAGGAGGATGCTCGCGACGCTGTGGATTCAAAACGAGGACCCAGCAACACAGGAGGGTTGGGAAAAACGCTCCCGGGACGATTCGAAACAAACAGTTCGCGTGGAGAATGGAACTTCCGCGGCGTCAGGACCAGTTCGGATAGTGAGGCGCTCAGTGAGAAGTGGGCCCCCACCCGCGCAGAAAAGAAGGGTGACAAGCCTCGAGGACCAGCTCTGAATGGCCGACATCAGCGGACGACAGCCAAACCCCTTGTGGCAAGAACTAGTAAAGTGGAGTCCCATGCCAAGAAAGACCCTGCTTGCATCCAGGGTACCCTGGGTTTCTTAGGTTTCGATGGTTTTGCCATGGAAAGCGTGACGTTCCCACGCCAAAAATGCAGGGACGTCCTGGGGTCGCAGGGTTGGGTTTCTTGCGGAAGGTTTCTTACTGACTGGCCTCCACTGGCCCCCCCGCCCCCCCATGCCAGCAGGAACGAAGCGGAAGAGGCGAACCAGCGGGGCCTAGACCCTGAAGGCGCTCTCTCTCTCTCTCTCTCTCTCCAGGCCCTCCGCTTGAAAACAATCCTATGGGGGAGACACACGCTGCTCTCTGCCGCGTGCACAGGGCGTGGCCAGGCGGTGGCGCAGGCAGACCATTCGAGGCCCCGAGTGCTTCCCAGCGGGGACCTGTCCTCTATCTACAGGGCGCCTCGTCACCTGTGGAGGGCCGCCGCCGCCGCCGCCGCCGCACCTCGTGAGGAGCGGGTCGCGACCGAGCGCACGGCACGGCGAGGGAGCGGTTCAGGTTTCGAGGCCGACCATCCGCTGCCAGGCAGAGGGCGCAGAGCACCACCAACCCCCGACTGACATTCAAACGCAAAGCGCCTCAGCTCCTGCTCCTGTACGATGTCTCGCGACGCAAGTGCCCCATCGCATGGGGCAAACATGGGCCACTCGAATCCTGAGCAGGGAGACCCGCGCGATTCAGGTTCAAACAAAACGACTCAGCTCCTGCTCCTGTACGACGTCTTGCGACGCAAGTGCCCCATAGGGACAGCAGGAGCCACTCGGATCCTGAAAAGGAGAACCGCGCGTCTTGTGCACACGGATCGTGAGCACCGCTGCTATGAGCAAGAAAATCGTCGCCGTCGCAACGAGCACGCCTCCTGGCAGCGCCCAGGATGCGTCATCATCGCCGACGCCTGTCAAATCAAGGAGCGCCACCTTCCCACCGAACGTCTCGTTGAGCCCGCAATCGCCCTCGACGAACTTGAAGTCCTTGTAGCAGACACAAGTCCCTGTGGCTACCTGGCACACCCCGCCGTTCGGGCAGCCGCCCGGGCAGTTCTTGGGCGGGACCTGGCTGCGCGGCTCCACTCCCAGCGCCCCCAGCACCTTCAACTGCCCGTCGGGGTCCGCCGCGTCGGGCGACTCCAGCGACTTCTCGTCTACCACGACGATGGTGCTGGCCTGCGAGGGGAGGAGGAGAAGGAGGAGGAGGAGGAGGAGGGAGAGGAGGGCCACACTGACCCACGCGATGAGCCGCCTCCAGGCCAGATTTGAGACCGTGGCCAGCCAGCATCCTGCGCCGGCCACGCTACTCAGAGACGGACGATTGCTTGCCAGCGCCCTCAGACAAGCTTGGAACAGTCGGCAGCATGCAGGCGCCGCTGCCCTGCCCTGCGGAGGAGGGACCGCGCCTCGACAGCCGAGATCCGACGCTAAGAGCAAAAGAGAGAGAGAGAGAGACAACATCGCGCCAGATCACGGCCGGAGCCCTCGACCCCGTCTCCCCGCCGCAGCTTGCGAGCGGGGCCGATCTGTGATGGTGCCGTGGCCCGACACGAGGCGAGATCGCTGGGCGTGAAAAAGTGGTGGCGCGCCAGGATCTCCGGCGGAGGCACGGCGGGTCCGCCTGCGAGAGGCCCATGATCTCGGGCTGGTCGTCCACGAGGGCGTGCGCTGGCGGCAGCGAGAACACGCCCCGGGTGGCCGCGACCGCCTGGTAGGACACGGTGTGCGTGCCGGCGGCGAGCGTGCTCCTCAGGGAGGGGCCAGCCTGGCGAGGCTGGGAGGCGAGGTCTGCGGGCAAGGGGTGCTGGACCACAAGGCCTTCCACCCCCGACCCCCTCGTGTCGTGCGAAAAAGCATGGCGGGCACTCCTTCATCACCTTCGGCCTCGGGCGGCCCCGGCGGGGCCCCAGGGCCATCCACCAAAACGGCTCAGGAGGAGAACCTGGCCCTGGGGAAAGGATCGAGACCTCGTGGGGGTCCGCGCCACGAAAAAAGCCACGACGCCGCGGAGGTCTTGACGGAGGAGGAGGAGGAGGAGGAGGAGTTGGAGGAAGAGGAGGAGGAGGAGGAGGAGGAGGAGGAGGAGGAGGAGGATAGGAACGAGGAGGAGAGAGGAGGAGGACAGGAAGGAGGAGGAGGGGAGGAGGAGGAGGAGGAATAGGAAGGAAGGAGGAGGAGAGGAGAGGAGGAGGAGGAGGAGGAGGAGGAGGAGGAGGAGGAGGAGGAGGAGGAGGATAGGAAGGAGGAGGAGGAAGAGGAGGAGGAGGAGGAGGAGGAGCAGGAGGCGGCGGAGGCTGCGGTCCGAGGCCCGGCGCTTTGCGATCCCTGGCGCTGATCGTCCTGTCGTCCCGGCGCGCTCTCTGACGGCTCCCGGGGCCCGGGGAGGCCGCCCGGGGAGGCCGCGCGGGGCCGCGGGAGGCCTCGGGACGCCCCGCGTCTCCCTCGGGGCCCGCCTGGCCCCCGGGGCGAGGAGAGGAGGGGGGAGCAAAAAGTGGCATAAACTAGGGGGAAAACAAACCTACCTCGCGCCAAATTGCAGCCTGTACTGGTCAGGCCGCTTGACGAGGAGGCGCGTGGTATGGCTTGGTTTTGCCTGGAAGCGAAAGCGGGGTAGGTAATTCACGCTCTGATAAACATAAAAACTCGGAGGTCAGCGCGGATCCGAGAAATCCGCGCGGGCCTCCGAGTTTTTATGTTCATGTCATTCTTCGTTTCCCTACGAGGAGGGGACAGAAGCGGGCCGCGATGGGGGGAGAGGCGAGCCGGCAGCGGCGGCGGCGAGGAGCGGGGGAGAGGAGAGAGGCTCCGAGGCCAGCAAGGAGGCGAGGCCCCGGGGCGAGGGCTCCGGGCGGGGAAGGGCGTCGGGCGTTGCCGGGAGTGCCCCTGGCCAGGGGTGCCCCCCAGCTTGTCGCTCCATCTCGGGAGGCCCTGGGGCCGCCTGGGCCTCGTGAGGGGTGCTCTGGAGGCCGTAGGGGCACTTCGAGCAGCACCCGAGGAGGAGGAGGCAGGGGCAACGGCAGAATGGAGATTCCGGGGGGGGGGGCTGGGGATTCCTGGGGGGAGGGCGACAGGCAGCGCCCACGGCGATGATTGAGAAATTGGGCTTCCGACCTGATCGTGGTGGGCGTCCTTATTGAGGTGCTGTGATCGCCCTCTCCAAAAGCTGCCCCAGCGGCGGGAAACTTGATTTCGGTCGCTCCCCTCGCGGTTTTTCCTCATCGCCGCTCGACACTGGGGCCCCGAGCTCCAGGATGTCCACGTGACGCGGTCAGCGAGGGTCTCGCGGTGGTAGAAGGCGGGCACGCACCACCACGACCAGCGGTAGCCGCCGCCGCTACACTCATCACCTGCGCCTGCACCGCTGTCGTCGCCGGCCACGTTCGGATCCACGGGCTCGAGGCCTCCCGCAGAGAGGTCCGTCACGACCACGCGGGAGACATCGTCGGGCGTCGTCACCTGCACCGTGACCACCACGCTGGCGCCTAGCGGTATCACCTGCAGCGGGGGCCCCACGGCATCGCCCGTCGCGGCGTTCATTCTGCGCACGACCTTCTCCACGTACAGGCCCCTGTACACCGCGCCGGCGGTGGGCATCGCGGCCGGCACGAAGGTGAGCACGGCGGAGACGGATGCTTGGCCGCGCCCCGTGGCGGTGAAGCGGACCGGCGCGGGCGGCCGGGGCAGCTGCTCCCACGGCGTGAGCTGCGTCACTGGGTCCACCTTCGCGCCACTCGCGTGGAAGTCCAGGACCCTCACGTCCCCGCTGGCCGCGGAGACCTGGATGTCTGGCTTCGTGGAGCCCAGCGCCTGTGGGGGAGCAGCATATGGTACCGACGCCGCGACTCCGCGGACCTCTCCCAGCGGTGCGCCCTGACCAGAGGCTCGAGGCGGATCCAGCCATGGGGCGCCGAGGGACGGATGGCGGCATCGGTGGAGTTCCCCCTCCTCTGAGCCTGGTCGTACTTGGAGAGCGCTGCACACGCGAGGGCCAGGCCTCGCACCCCGGCCCAGCCTCCATAGGCGCCGGCACCGCCTGCACCGCCAGCGGCCACGTACTGCCCCACCTTCGCCGCCAGTGACGACGAGGCGTCTCCTGCGAAGTGCCTCGCGAGCGCGCCGTCGCCCGCCAGCGCCATCGCCAGCAGCGCCGCGGCGTTCGCCTCCAGGCCTGCGCTGTGCTGGCTGCCGTCGCTGGCTGCGACGTAGGCCGTGCGGCCCTGGACACGGAGCAGGCGGGAGAGCCTCGAGTAGATCTGGTCGAGGCGTGCAGGCGCTTCGCTTGGAAGATCCTCATGAGGACTCAGAGGAGGAAAAAGTACCCATACCGCTACCCCCTCGCCCGTTTTCCCCTTTGGGGGCCTCCTTGGAGGCCCTCGTCGCCACCGCTGGATTCGCCTCGAAATCCTGGTCAGAAAGCACCCCGGGAGAGGTCCGGGGAGTAGCGGTATCGGTACCCTTGGGTTCCCCCAAGGATGGTTTGGCCAATCCCCAGCCCCGCAGGCGTGGCCTGGGCCCCGCTGGCCGACTTTTGCCCGCCCAGACGGGTTAAAACACGATGCTTCCCTCGGGTGCCGCGGGGCCTATTCCCCAAAGCGGGGGTGGGATGGAGGAGCTGAGGCACCAGAACCCAGTGGGGACGGGGATCAGTTGGACGAGGCTGACCTCTGGGCGGCCGTGGAGCGTGTAAGCGAGCGCCGCGTGCGCCAGGCCCAGCGGGCCGAGGCTCTCCAGCGACTCGTTGGAGAACAGCCGGTCCATGGACAGCTCTCGGCGGTCCGCCTTGCCGGACGGCGCGTCCCACTCGAAGCCGAGCGCGGCGCGGACATCGGCCAGGGTCGCCCACGAGCGGAAGCAGTCAGAGGTGCACGGCGGCCTGGAGTGCTTGCGAGCCTGGCGGACCTGGCGGGCCAGCTCCTGTTCCAGGGCACCCTGCCAGCTCTCCACGATCTGCGCGAAGGAGGGAGGCAAGGTGAGGCTCGTCGACTCCGAGTTCCTCCCTCCAGCAGCCGACCTGTCGCCAGCACCGCTGCTGGCCTCCACAATTCGCACCGCCAGTATCCCGAACGAGTTAAGCGTCACGCTCGCATACATCGCGCCTCGCGGGATGGCGTTGGCGTCGTCTGTGCGCCACATCAGCCCCGCAGGCGGGTAGCCATACTGATCTGTGTACGCGGGGAGCTCCCGCACGGCCCGCTGGAAAGCCGTGGCGGCCGAGTCCAGCGAGCTCGTCGCCGACCAGCGGTAGAGGCCGAGCGCCGCTGCGGGCAGGAGCTGAGCTGCGACCGTCTGCCCGTCGGTCGGCTCCCGCGCGAGGAGGTCGGCGGCGTGGGTCGCGACGGAGGGCTGGTAGCCCACCCCTGCCGTCAGCCGGAGCTCCCCTGAGCCGGGCGCGGCCTCCGGCAGTGCGAGGCCCTCCGCCGCCACGGCAGCGGCGCCCTGGCGCCCGGTGAGGACGAAGGAGTCCGCAACGACCACCTGGCCCTGCGTCGCCTTCACTGCCACCGGCGCCTCCATGGCATCCAGCACGTCATCGCCCACGGCCACCTGGAAGCGCACCGTGGCGCTTCCCAGGCCGCCGCCCTCGCTCACGGCAGGCACCTCGAAGGGGAAGACCACCTCTCGGGCGTGCACGACCGTGGCTGTGAGAGCCGTTGGGGGGGGGCCCCTGAGCTGGCACCGATGCGTCAATCCGGGCTCGACCGTCAACCGGAATCGAGATCGGCAGGTTCGTGGATCGAGCTTGCGGGCTGAATCGAAATCAGGCCTTGGATCAGCCTGGACCAGGCAGGGCTTCGGGCAGCCTCGGGCCCCGGGATCGACCAGCTCAGGACCCCCCCCTTGACAGCAGACCATCAAGCCACGGGCTACGAGCATCGTCTAACCGATCCCTATCCCCACTGGCGTGGCCTGGGCCCCGCTGGCCGATGTACCCCCCCCGATGGAGATATAGGCTATTCCCCTCTTCGGGCTCCAAGGGGCCTCTTTCCACTGGGGTGGTGGGATGGTGGGGCTGAGATACCATGGCCCGGTGGGATGGGGCGGGAAAAAACGATACTGAGGTTACCCAGCCGGAGCCTCGCGGGGCCCGCTGTTGCCCGACGCCTCCACGGCGGCCGTGGCTCCGCCAGTTGTATTAGCCGCGCCGAGAGCGCGCAGGTCACGGCGCCGGAGGGCCAGCGAGGTGTTGCCGTCCTGCACCTGGGGGCGACTCGCTGGGCGTCTCCTCCTCCTCCTCCTCCTCCCTCCTCCTCCTCTCCTCCTCCTCTCCTCTCTTCCTCATCGTCCTCCTCCTCCTCCTCCTCCTCCTCCTCCTCCTCCTCCTCCCCCCCTCCTCCTCCTCCTCCTTCTTGTCCTCCTCCTCCCCCGATCCTATCCTCCTCCCTCCTCCTCCTCCTCCTCCTCCTCCTCCTCTCCTCCTCCTCCTCCTCCTCCTCTCTTCTCCTCTCTCTCCTCCTCCTCCTCCTTCCTCCTCCTTCTCTACCTCGTCCTCCTCCTTGTCGACCTAGTCCTCGTCCTCGTCCTCCTCCTCCTCCTCCTCTCCCACCACCACCACCACCAACACCATCATCATCATCATCATCATCATCATCATCACCACACCACCACCACCACCACCACCACCACCATCATCATCATCATCATCAGCAGCAGCAGCATCAGCATCAGCATCAGCAGCATCATCATCATCGTCATCGTCACCATCATCATCAGCAGCAGCATCAGCACCAGCATCAGCAGCATCACCATCATCACCATCATAATCAGCCTCATCATCATCGTCAGCAGCATCATCAACATCAAACTCCTCATTATCAGCATCATCATCATCATCATCACAATCACCATCATCAGCATCATCAGCCTCATCATGATTATAATCAGCAACGCCATCAACATCATCATCATCATCAGCAGCAGCAGCAGTATCATCATCAACAGCATCAGCATCATCATCATCAACAACAGCATCAGCATCAACAACACCAGTATCATGATCATCATCATCATCATCATCGTCATCATCAGCATCATCAGCATCCTCATCATTATCATCATCAGCATCATCATCAGCATCAGCATCAGCATCAGTATCATAATCATCATCATCAGCTTCATCAACATCATTATTATCACCACCATCAGCATCATCATCATCATAATCAACAACATCAGCATCAGCATCAACAACAGCATCATCATCATTAGCATCAGCATCGCCAACAACAGCATCATCATAGTCATCAGCATATCATCCACATCAGCATCATGAGCATCATCATCATTAACATCATCAGCAGCAGCATCATCAACAACAGCAGCAGCATCGTCATCCTCATCATCCTCATCATCATCATCATCATCGTCATCGTCATCGTTATCGTCAGCATCATCACCACCACCACCACCACCACCACCACCATCATCCTCATCATCATCATCATCATCGTCATCGTCATCGTCATCGTTATCGTCAGCATCATCACCACCACCACCACCACCACCACCATCATCATCATCATCATCATCAGCAGCAGCAGCATCAGCATCAGCATCAGCAGCATCATCATCATCGTCATCGTCATCATCATCATCATCATCATCATCATCATCATCACCATCATCATCGTTATCAGCATCATCACCATTATCATCAGCATCAGCATCAGCATCATCATCATCATCATCACCATCAGCAACAGCTTCATCATCATAATCATCATCAACAGCAGCATCAGCATCAGCATCAGCAGCCTCATCATCATCGTCTCACCATCATCATCAGCAGCATCAGCATCAGCATCATCATCATCCACAGCATCAGCATCATCATCACAATCATCATCAGCATCAGCATCAGCATAACCATCACCATCACCATCAACTTCATCATCAGCATCATCACCATTAGTATCATCAGCAGCAGCATCATCAGCAGCAGCATCGCAATCCTCATCGTCAGCATTATCATGATCAGCAGCAGCATCATCATCGTCAGCATCATCATCATCAGTTACAGCAACAGCATCATCATCATCACCGCCATCATCATCAGCAACAGCATCATCATCATCATCATCATCATCATCATCATCATCATCATCATCATCATCATCATCATCATCATCATCATCATCATCATCTTCATCAGCAGCAACATCAGCATCTTCATCATCAGCATCATCAGCAGCAGCATCGCCCCTTCGGGAAGCCAGAGCGGGCGGAAGCGACGTGCCATGAGCGCACGGCTTCCGCGGCGGCCGCTCCCTCGCGCCCCTCAGACGACGGGCCCCCCCCCCACCCGGGGGGGGAAGGCCCGAGCAGAAGCCGGCCCTTGGCGGCCCGGGCGCACGAGGACGAGGAGGAGGAGGAGGAGGAGGAGGAGGAGATCCGTAGCCATTTTGGCTCAAGTCCGTAGCGTTTCGCTCAGGGACCGAGGCCTTTTTGGCGTGGGGGAGGCGCGCCCCTGCCAGTGATCCTGCGATCTCTCTTTCATTCGTTTCGCTCACAGCCTACAGTCTGGCTGCTGTAAGTTCTGCGGCCGTCAGGTCCCATGGGGCGCAATGGCGGCGGCAGGCAGCAGGCGTTCAGTGCGACCTGGACCTGCTGCAACAAGAAGTGCGGCTTCGGCAACAATTTCCCATGGCGTACGACGTGCTGGGCTTGTGGCAAGCCCAAAGGAGCGGTCCCTGCACCGGCGGTGCCGCGCCCTCCTGCTGGTGCTTGGGTTCGTCCTCCTCGGCTGCAGCCACAAGGAGGCTCACCTGGTGCTGGGCAAGGGCCTGGCGCAAGCGGCGGCAAGCTCACCCCTGAGCGCAAGGACGCATTGCTTGCCATGTCCGCCGAGCACTTCGAGGCCTGCAGCATCTGGCTGTCGCCTGGTCAGAAGGCGCACTTGCTGGGGCTGCGAGCCGTGCAGACAGGCGACCCGCTGGCCCTCAGTCGACAGGCCAAGCAGCAGCACGACACGCTCAAAGATCAGGTCGCCAAGGCCAAGAACGCCTGGGAGAAGTCTCAGGAGTTGCTGGCCAAGCAGCTGCAGAAGACGGCGGAGCTCAAGGCGAAGTTCATGGAGCTTGAGGCCAAGGAGCTCGAGGCGGCCCGCGCTGCTGCCAGCGCCTTCTCCGAGCTCGGGCGTGCCTCCAGGCCTCAGCCTGCTGACCATGCTGCATACCTTGTGGAGCAGCTGCGTGAGCTGGGGGTCGAGGCGGGCGTGGTCGACTCGATCAAGCAGGTCGCGGAGGCCCGCCAGAAGGCCAAGAAGGATGAGGAGGAAGCGGCGGCTGCTAAAGCTCGTGCTGAGGCGGCAGATCGTCATCATGAGCGTGATGCTGGTGGTGCTGCTGCTGATACCAGCGACGCTGCAGGCGATCACGACCTCGACATGGATGCAGCCATCGGCAACCTCAAGCAGGGCGACTGGATGGACAAGCTCGTCAGCTCTGCAGGTGAGAGCGGCATCACTCGATCGCAGCTGGAGGCTGCGCTCGATGAGGCTGGTGCTGATTTCAAACGCAAGCGCCTTTAGCCGTGCGGCTAGATGCGCAATGGGGCCAAAGGCCCCGAGGTTTTGGAATATTGTCTCTGCCAATGTTACTGATCGCTCTGGGCTTGACATTTTCCTCTCCTCCCCCTCTGTGCTCCAGGCTCAGCTGGTCGGTGTGCAGGAAACGCGGGTGTTGGAGGTTGAAGCTTGTGAGCATAAACTCAGGCGACAAGGGTGGAGAGCCAAACTTTCGCCAGCCCGTCAGACGGCTGGAGGCGGCATATCTGCTGGCATCATGCTTGCTGTGCCAAAGCATATCGGCCTGGCGCCGATTGAGAGCTTTCCGATCGACGTGCAGGTGGGGAGGATGATGGTTATGCATGTGGGAGGTCTCGTACCTGGGGGTTTCCTAGCGTGCACGCTCTATCTGCATCACTCTGTCGGACTTGCGCCAGCCAACTGGGATCTTCTCTGCAGGCTAGGCGCGCTGCTGAAAATGGCCAACATGCCGTTCCTCATCTTCGGGGACTTTAATCTCGAGCCCGACGTGCTCCAGCATTCAGGCTGGATTGATGCAATCGACGGTGCTGCCATATACACGGATGCTGGAACTTGTGCTCCAGCGCACAGGACCATCGATTTTTTCGTTGTCTCCCAGGCGTTTGCGGCGAACGCCTCGGTCTCACTGTTGGCAGAAGTGGAGATCACTCCACATATTCCAGTTAAGTTGAAGTTACCCACCTTGGACACTGTACCCTCGGTGCGCATGGCTATGGTTCCCCGCAGGTTCCCCAGAGAGTTGCCCATTGGTTGCCGTGGAGAGCCCAACTTAGCCAGGTGGGAGGTGGCGTCGGAGATGATGAGCAATGCTAGCATATCTAAGTCGTGGCAAGTTTTCGTCTCGGCTGCCGAGCTTGAATGGTTAGAGGTGTATCAGATTCCCGCTGAGCTTTCGAAACCGTACCTTGGGCGTGGTGGTGATGTTCGTACTGGGTGGTGTCGACCGAGCCGGCCTGCTCCAGTTCCTTTTCCACGTCTGAGCCCTCAAGCTGTGTGGTGGAGAGCCTTGGCCCAGGTCCTCAAGACCCTCACGAGGCCCATCAGCGTTGCCCAGACCAAGCAAGTGCGGTGCAGGATCCGACATCTTCAGAGCTCGCCAGATGTTCCAGATTCGAATCTCGCGGTTTGTTTCCTGGAGGCCCTTGATCGGTTTCGCGTCTTTGATTACGTAGTCATGGACTATTTCGCCGCCGTCGCCAGCGACACTGCCGAGCGCCTGCACAAGCAGGCAACCCAGCTGAAGATAGTCAACTGGGACCGATGGGTTAAAACGCACTCGGTAGGTGGGGCTGCGGCGCTCTTCAAGTATGTGCAGCTGCCTGACCCTTGGCAGCCGTCCACCCTCGACTCCTTCACCCTCCGTCCCAACTCCAGCATGGGGGAAATGGATGAACTTGAAAGGGAGTGGAGCAAGTGGTGGCAGGTGGGGGTCGCGCAGCCCCCCGTGCACTGGCCAGAGGATCTCGGAGAGCGCCCGCCTCCCCCCACGGTCCCAGAGCTCAAGAAAGTGTTGATGTCCTTCCCGCTAGGCACTGGTTGTGGATACGACCAGGTCCCGCCTAGGAGTTTTCTGCACTTGCCCGACGTTGCGCTCGAGCTTCTGTGCGGCCTCATCGGGAAGATTGAGGAGCAGGCGGACTGGCCTCCCCTCACG